TTTCCCCATCTCTCTCCTTTAGCAAGCTACTCTTGGCTATGGGCAGAGGGCTTTCCTAGATACTCTTTTACTTGGCCTTTTTCTTTTTTTAAGTGGCTGGATAGACACCCTGCCTAGAGGCTGGATAGACCATGTACACTGGCCTCCAGTTTGGAGTGTATGTCTGCATTTTTTACCTTCTTCCCACAAAGCTGGTTGCTGTGAGGCCAGAGTGGTCTCAGATGATGGCCTAGTATTGCTGAGCTCTTGGCAACGCCTGCAGCGCCAGTTCCCGGGGCAGTGGATAAATGCCAGTGTTCCCTTGGAGAATTATATGGTACAAATCTTGACGCTAGGTGGCAGAATTAGACTGTATCAATCTTCACCTGTTTTTTCATTAGACCACTTTCTCTAGATATTGAAACTAGCAGATGTCTTTCTTTAAAAAGTGATTATCTGGACCATCTGACATCCGGCTGTGGATCAGGAGCTTTCTTCTGACTTGTCAGTTTCTGTTCCCATCTGTCATCAGTCCATCTTGAGTCAGTGGTATGGTCTCTAGGTTGGGCTTTTCTCCATGGTGTCTCAGAGCTAATCAGTCATCTAGCTTTGTGAGTTCTCCCTTTGTAAAGTCCCTTTATGCTCCCCCTCAAGAGACTGGCATTTCTACTCCACTAGAACATGAGCTCCATTTTCTGGCAGTTCTCAGCTACATCCCAGACCCTACACTGCCTGGACATTGGCTGATAGAATGAGTTGGTCCTACCCTTCCTTCCTTGGCTTCTGTCCCTTCATTCTATCTTGCCAGTTACTTTTCTTTGTAATCTTCCTTCTGTCAAATGATCTCCAGTGGGTCTCCTTTGTTTGAAGGATGAAGGTCAACTTCCTTAGACTAAAATTTGCTGCCTTTTCACAGCTTGCCCACAACCTGCCTTTCTTGTTGTCTCTCATTTCTGAGCACAAACCCTCTCATCAGATCTACTTCCTGTCCTTTGAGTATGCCTTGATTTTTTCCTCTTCTCCCTGGACGAATTCCCCTCATCATCCATCCTTTCTCTTACCTCAACCAAGAACCTCTCCTTCCTGTCCTATTCTTTGTCCCCCAATTCCTGTGACAATTGGTGCCCATATCATACATTTTATACATTCCATCAGCATATATTATCAGGCACCTACCATGTGCCAGACACTGTTCTGGATGCTGGAGATTTGGCACTGGGAACAGATAGAAATTCCTCATGGGGAGGAAGCAAATCATAAGTAAGTTGCATAAATGAAAATATGTAGTATGTCAGATGGTAATGAGTACTAAGAGGAAAAGCATAGGAAAAGTTGTGAGTCTGGGCTGGAGGCAAGGAAATCATCACTGAGAAAGAAACTTCTGAGTGAAGACCTGAAGCAAGTGAGAGATATCTGGAGGAAGAACTTTCCAGGCAAAGCAAATACCAAATGGGAAAGCCTTGAGGTTGGTGTGTCCTGGCATGCTCCAGGAACATGGTGGAGCAGAGGGAACAAAGCTGAGAGTAATAGAGATGAGGTCATCCTTTCCCCTACCCCTCTCTTGCAATATTGGGGTTTGAACTCAGAGCCTCATGTTTCCTAGGCAGATGCTCTACTGCTTGAGCCTGGCTTCCACCAAAACCCTGTCTTTACTCAGAGAGGTAGGGAAAGTGCAAAGACACTGCTAGGCTGAAGAGAGGCATGATCTGGCTTATGTTGTATGAGTGTCACTCTGGCTGCCAGGCTGATATTGGGCTAAGGGAATGCAAGGCAGAAAACACCAAGGAGGACTAATTAGGAAGTGTTTGCAGTAATTGAGGTGGAAGATTACAGAACAGTATGACAAGTGGTTGAACACAAGATATGTTTTAAAGATAGGTTTGAAAACTGGGCTAGTGTAACTGAGCACACATGTGTAGTCCCAGTCACTCTGGAGGCTGAGGCAGGAGGATCCCTTGAGCCCAGGAGTTTGGGGTCAGCCTTGGCAACAGAACGATACCTGGTTTCAAAAAAAATTTTTTTAGAAAAATTGCCAGTGAAGCAGATATTGGGTGTGAGAGAAAGAAGATAGAGGAGTTCGTGTGTATGCAAGCACACTTAGGAGACAAAGCCTACCCAAACCATAGCACAGACCTATGCTCACTTAACTATAAAATTCATCAGTTCATGAGAATAGCTTGTGCCAGGCTGATATTTTAGTTTTATAAATTATTTTTTAGGGTGTGCAGTTTTTCTGAATATTTATCTTGGTATTAGAGCTTTTCCTTTTCAGTGTATTTATACCTGTTTTTCATGCATATCTATTTCCTTGTTTTCTCAATTAAAATATTTTTCTTAATGCCATTGGTATAACTTTTTATTGTCGTACAGCCTCTTTTTCATTGATATGTGAGATAGCCATTATCTATTGCTATATAACCATCTGCCCCCAAGCTTAGTGGCCTAAGGCAGAAACATGCATGTGTCTGCTCATGATCTGTGACTTGGGCAATGTGGGGCTACTCAGCTCTGTTCTGTATGGAATTGGTAGCTCTGTTGGGTGGGAAGAACCAAGTAGCTTCATTTTAGCCCCAGCCTCTGCTGGGTGGCAGGTACTACAGGAAACTACCTGGGCTTTTCTCTCTCCCTTCACTGTCTGCCATCTTCCAGTGACTGTCTTATCAGGTAACCTCTCTCTAGCAAGGAAGTGCCCTTTCCAAGGGCACGAATGCAGAAATTCCAGGCCTCGTATAATCCATGTCCAGAGCTGCACAGCATGACTTCTGCCGCCTTCCCTCTTACTCCAGGGAGAGGGCTAGACCCTGCCTCTGTGTACCTGCAGGCATGGGGGGCTTGTTGCCAGTCTCGCTGGCCTTCTAGTACATGCCACTTCTTTTAGGTGAAGAGAAGTGTACTTCAAGCAAAGATGACATCAGATCTCAGTAGAATCCCCCAGCAAAGAGCAGGGAAGCAGAGCCATATGGCAGGGGACCTGAGACACCGAGTCATTTTCTTGGTTCTGTTAAAACTGTGCTAGAGAAATCATTTAGGTTTTGGTGTCTGAAGTAACTTGTGGTGCAAAAAAAAGGATGGCTAAGTGTTAAGAACTTTATTTCACCTGGAAATGTCATCTTTTGGATAAACAATAAAGGGGAGAGATACCAAGAAAAGAGGGGACTTCATTAACATTTATCAGTTTTCAGAAAGGGCTCTGTGGGCCTCTGGATCTCACTGAGGGGTCTCTCTGGTCACAACATCCTCTTTGGCATTCTGTGCTCACCCTGTTGAGGGTACCGGGTCCTGCCTCTACAGTGTTCATGCCCTTCTGACCCCACATTCCTTTCTCAGGTTGCCATCTAGAAATGAATCATCTGTCTGTCATGGAAGTCCCTCACCCAATTTCTTACTGCAGGCTAGAGAGAGGCTCCCTAGAGGATGCTCTCCTGCCTCTCCCCCACCCCTTACTCCTTACTTTCAGGAATCACTTGTCTGATGAGTGAGTTCAGCAGAAGGAGCTCAAAAAGGCCACCAGGGTGTCTTCTGGGGGGTCCTGCTCCCTCTTAGTGGGTGGTGGATCTATACCCCTTCATCAGGGGAGAGAGTGCAAAGTGTCATTAATAAGTGAGGTGACAAGATTCTACCTTCCTAGGTCTGAAGCCACATTTTTCAGGTGAGCTTCTATTGGTCAGCATTGTCATCTCAACTTGACTCAGTTGTCCTTTCTGCACCCCCCTTGACTACCCCTCATCTTGCCACCCCTTCAGCAGAAGACAGCATCAGCCTGCTGTTCTGAGGTTCATCTCAGCCCAGAGCTGGTCCAGGCTGCCTCCTAGCCTGGCCCAGCCCCTGGCAAGGAACAAGGATTAGACACTAGATATGTTTGTTGAATTGCATGGAATAGAATTGGTGTATAAATATTTGGGTTGCACATAAACATCCTTGAAATTTTGGTTGTGAGTATCAAAGTATGGTTTTGGCCTCTGAAGAAGATCCACTGAAAATGAGAGAAAAATTAGAGGCAAAAAATATTTGCAGAAAACAATGGTAAACTTGGAGTGCAAGGAACAACAGAGAATATTCTGAAAAGAAGAGAACAAGTGCTGGAGTGAAGCAGGAAAGAAGAGAGCTGGAAACAATATGTGTGCCTCCCGAAACTCAAGCCTTTGAAGTTGTAGGAAAGAAAAAATTTAGACAGATTTGAAATTTAGTCGGATATCAATAAAGACTTTTGGCAGCAAAGGGAAACTGAGGTTTTGGGCAATATGGGAAATATATATATATCCCTGTCACCATTGAAGGCCTGATATCTTTGAATGGGAGCCCAGGTGGGATCTCCCCAGGTCTGCAAGGTCCCAGTGTCCTCTGAGCAGTCAGGCTGCCAGCTGCCTCACTGCATTTCTTGGTGCTCATTTTTCAGACTCCAAATTACTAGTCTCAGAACTCCTTCCCTCTGGAAATGTGTGGATTTCCACCTCAAGCCTCTAACACTTCTTATTTGAGAAGTGTTCACTATTGGCCACCAATGTTCCTCGGAGAACTTACCCATGTTGCATGATATTAGACTTGTTTCTCATGCCTTGCCTGACTCCCCAGCTGGGCCGGAAGTTGGTCAAGGCAGCAAACCATCACATGTTCACTTCTTCAGGGCCTTGCCCTGTGGTAGTGATTTGCCTGCAATAAAATTCAGTAGCCTCACCCACCCACTCAAAGACCCCACTGACTGCTTGTCTTATCTTTCAAAGTGAAACTTTGTCACTTGAGGTTAATGTCATGGATTAACATGATTACTTCGCCAAAGTACAAAATTGTACACTAACCATGCACCAGGAACTAGCAAGGCCCTGTGGGACAGAGAGGGGCATGCTGGGTGGGGATAGAAGTGGCATATGTGACCAGTCCATTTTTTTCTTCAAGGAATTCAACCAAATTAGGTCTGTACTAGAACTATTATTCAAAAGTTGCTTCCACCTGCTCTTGCCACGTCTGTCAGAGAGTGTTAACAAGGTTCCTGATGTTATTGACCTGTCTCCCCTCATGTCTAGGGGATATGCAACGAAGCATGTTATTGAGGGTCTGGAACCCAGGACACTGTATAGATTCCGACTGAAGGTCACCAGCCCCTCGGGAGAGTACGAGTACAGCCCAGTCATCTCAGTATCTACGACCAGTGAGTATGCTCTGTTCATTTATCTAGAGACCCATGATGATGACAAGTGATTTAGAGGTAAAAATATTCTGCCTTTTCTCATCCTTACCAGAAGCAGAAAGGATTCCATTTTTAAGTACTATGATAATATCATTTACTGCCTGGGCTTGGGCATCATGTGACATAGGGAAGTCCAATTCTGCTTTCACAAATTGGGAGAGCTGATTTTTGTGCCAGGATTGTCTGTTACAGACATTGGGCATAGACTTTGCTGAGGAAGTCTACTCAGTGCTTGTCTACTTTGGACGGCTTCAGTGTATGTGACTTGGTCACACATGTCTGATTTCTGGGGTTACAGAGTGAGAAAACAGTGCACTCCTAGCCCCACAGAGAGAGAGGCCTGCAGAGGAGGTGGCCAGTGAGGCTGGATGCTACGTCTCTGACCACTTTGGTCTTATCCCAGTTTTATGATATTTTCTGCTATTGATATTTTGAGACATTTTAAAGATGGATTGTTCTGTGTCATCTTTGATCTGGAATATTGCATAGATTTAGATGGAATATCCTTCATGGCCCACCCTCTGACAGTAGAGGCAAGGTTTTTTTGGATTGCACAAAAGAACTCTTCCTTTTGTGAATAAAGCTCTTTTTCCAGTTTTATTCAATATGGTGTTTGGCTTGTTATGTATATTTTCTGTGGTGCTCAGTTGTGTCCATTAGGCATTTCTTTAGCTAAGTTTCTGTGTGGACTGAAGATAATTCAGATTTTGAGGTGCCCTGTCACATCTTCAGTTGCAAATGTGGCATGAGGGCATTGAAGCTTAAATTTAGCAAATTGTGACTTGAGTCAAAGCTGAAAGAGTGGGGACTCTACGTTCCCAAATGATGCCCGGATAGCCATGAAAAGGGCAATTTCAGAGAAGACTCTTGAAGCGAAATGGCCAATCATGGAGATGCAGGTCAAGCAAGAGGACCTTTTCTCTGATCTGGCAATGCTGAAAGTATTTGCTTTTGTAGGGATGATACTTGGCTCCTGGAGTCCTGGGGTGGGGGATGGGGGGTGTGTGTGAAGGCAGAGTGGTATAATGCCATTGAGTTCTTTGTGCATGGAAGGTCAGGGGAGAAGTGGACAGGAGAAAGGTTGCAAAGGGAGCCTGGCATTTGAACAGTCTCCAAGGCACACTGGCCAGGATGTTCTCCGAGGCTGCCTCTTTGCTTCCTTCTGTCCTGCTGCCCCACCAACCTATAGGTCCCTGGCCACCCCCAGCTGCCTACTTCTGCTTCTTCCCCTCCTCCCTGGAGCTTAGTCCCCCACATACCTGCTCCATGGTCAGAGTTGGCTCAGGGGCAATTTGTTTGTACAGTTGTTCCTCTCTGCACACATTGCAGTTTCTACCCAGCACAAAGCAGGGCTCCCCACCTCCAGGAGCACTTTTTTTTTTTTAAGTTTTAGCAAGGATTTATTTTAGTATAACAGGGTAAAGTATAGATGGTGGGGGCAGAGAAAGAGAAAGAAACATTTCCTGTTCCCTATGCAGGAAATGGGAGCGGAGACTCCCAAGACTTCTTAAATCTCATTTTACATATTTGTTTGCCTTTTTAGACTCCATACATTGTGGGCTCCTGAAGGATGGTGGTGATGATGGGTTTTTAACATGTAGGAGATCCTCGATGAATGGATGGATGGAAAGATAGAGGGATGATGAACTAAGGCCCAGAGGCATCATTAAGTGTATGAAGAGAAACTCTGGTTTTCTTGGCTTGCACTCATGTCTGTTGGTGGATAGATCCATTTCCCACTAATCAGAACAAGTCCACCTGAACCTTCCAGGAAAGGTGGACATGGTCGGCTTTGTAATCAACTATGGTAGGCTTCAGGTGGCCACTAGTGTCCTCTTATATAGCACATCAAAATCAGGGCCAGGAGTTCTGGACTTTCTAGCCAGAGTTCACATGGAGCCAGTGTGTTGCATGGGACCTTTTTAGGAAGGTAGAGACCAGACTAACTTTGTCAATCAGCTGACAAGGGTTGTGTCTGTGGCCAGGTGTGCCTTCTTCTTGCCCAGCTGCCTTTGCAGAAGTAGTTGGTCCAGGCATTTTGTCATCACAGCGCCTCGGCTTCCATGGGTAATTAGGTAAGACCTCCTGCAGGACAAGGGCTTGCTGGTGCTGACCAGATGTGCAGGGGCCTCTTGACTGTTTCCCTGTGAGGCACAGCACAAGTGCCTGCAGCCCAGTGGCCATCTCGGCCTCCAGGGGCTCTGCTGGGTGACTGCTACTTCCTTATGCTATTGTTGTCATTATTATATCTGGTGCAGCCTCTCTTAAGGAAGCAGATCATTCTATACAGAGAATTAAAAAGTGTGCACATTATATATTGCAAGCGAAAATACTTCTGTAGGCTGATAACTTGCATTCAATTTGAGAGTGTTTTAGCGAATCACAAAAGTATGTACTTTGAGTAAAGAATGCTCAGCTTCCCCTCCCCCCAACCTTCCCAGGTAAAGTACACAAGATCTTGCTTAAATGAGGCATGCAATTTTAATCAGCTGGGCCCTTAAAAGGAAAGAAGAACAGCTGCTACTTGTTAATTGGCAAATATCTTCTCCAACAAGCTTGTGATTTATTCACTGCTATCAATAAAGACCTAAACTCCACCAAGAAAGGTGCTATCACCATATAATATCTGCAGACACATCTGCAGCTAAATGACCCTTTTACAGAGCAAGCATGATGGCTTCACCCAAACCACTCTGCTGTCCCCAGCCCCAGGAATCTTCACTCCCTGCACCACACCCAGCTCTGATGCGAATTCCAGGGCATCCTCACCACCAGCAGATCAGCTTAATGTTTGTAGTCACAACACTCAGAATAAGCTCTAGACAATCAAACCCACCCAGGCAAAGGACTGCCTTTTTATTTTCAGTTGCACTTAGCCCACAGAGTCTCGAAGGGTTCAGGAGTGGGAGGAGTGGAACATTCTGCTTACCCTGGAATTTCCTCTCTGTTCTTCATTACTCCTGTCTATAGTGGGAGTAGAAGGAATGGCTGTGCTCAGGAAACAAGGGCCTTTTCATTTCTTTTCAGTGTCTATGTGAAATTCATGCTAACTGTGGGACTTTTCTGGACCTTGGCTGCTTCCCATGGCTCCAGTGGAAATTTGCAGTCCCTCTTTGCCTTTCTGGGGCAATGTCTTCTTGGGAGGAGGGGGATTGAGCTAATGATGAGAAGTTGCTGTCATACCTGGCACATGGGGATTGCTTCCTTTTGCTGGAATCCATCAAATAAGGAGTGATGAACAATGACAGTCTTTCCTTCTCTTCTTCGAGGGGTCCCTTTGTTCCTAGCATAGGATGAGAAGCACTGTAGACCCCTCACAGAAGCTGGAAGAGACATACATTTATTCTAGCTGGATCATAATACCAAGATAAGCTTATAAGCATGAAATGAACTCACTTGTTTTCCAACATTTGCATGCTGAAGAGCCTCCTGGTTAGGATGTGCTAGGAAGTGCCCCCATCGAGAGGGCCTCACCGTGCAGGTAAGGTAGGTGCTGTGGAATAGAGGTGGTCAGTGCAGAGGTGTGGGATGCTGCAGGTGCTTTCAGAACTTTTCTTAAAAATCCTGAGAAGTTAGCCCTCTCTGAGTTTTTTAGGCAACCCTTTAACACTTTTTTTTGGTGGGGGGGGATTCACATTTACTAAAGATGTCTGTGTCCAAAATTTAGTGAGCATGCAAGCCAACAGTGAACTTGTCAGTTACCTCATTGCTGATTATGGACTAAAGGGAAGGAGTATGACCTAAGGACAGACCTGGCTGTGAGCTCTGCTGCCCACTCCTCACTGTGTGACCTTGGACAGCGTAGCATTTCAGAGTGTTGGTTTTGTAGCTTTGAGGAAAATTTAAAAAGCATATCTAAAATCCTATGTATAGCGTAATCAATAGGATTTGATTTAGGATACCACAACATCTTAAAATTTAGTAGAAATAGGATGAGTTTCCCGTGTCCCCCTCGACAAGGCTATCCAGATGACTTGCGGTTTATGGCAGTCGAGGTCAGGTGGATGTTACAACCGTGGGAGGGGTTGCTGGGCACAGAATGGGGGAAGTGCTGAAGCAAGTAGAGCTGGCAGCTGCGCCTCCCAATTCCCTGTGTTGGGTATTACGATGCGCCAGGAGCTATTCTGAGTGCTTTGCTTATACTTCCTTTAAGCTTGATCATGATAGTTCAAAAAAATTTGAAAGGCCTGGAATGTGTAACAATGGCTTGGCAAGTGGGCTGTTTCCCAGGGTCCCCTTATTCTGTACTCTGCTCCTATTGATCTGCCCCATTCTTGTCTCCACAGAGTCCCTGCTCCCTGTACCAGTCTCCCCTACTCCATTTCCCACTGATGTTGCCTTTCTCAGACTTGTTCTTGCTCTTCTCTATTTAACAGGTGGTGTCCCTTGATTGGATTTTCTCACAGGTTCCCCACCTCTCTTGTGGGTATGAGTCCCTTCTGCCCCCACAAACTCAGGGGAGACAAGGCTGATATGTGTGTCATATTCCTGGGAAGAACTGAAAATTTCAATGGCAAATGTCAAAGCCATTTGTTCTTTATTGTTCAAGTAGTTTAGCCACTCTTTGGCAAACAACACTATCACATTGTAACAATTGTTGAAGTCTTCTTCCTTGGAAGAAACATTGATTAAACCTTATGAAATCTCAAAGGGTTACTCAAATATCAGAATAACATTTATGAAGCAATACTTTATAACTTGAAAATGTCCCAAGCCTTTAAGTCAGTCTAAATATTCTCTTAACATGAAAATCAGGTCTTTTTTCAGAAAAAGAAGCAGTTGAGTAGGAAATGTAAGATCCACCGCTAGGAACATCTCTGTGCCTTCTTGGAGGTGAACGTAAACTCCCACGGAAGGCCACAGGAGGAATAGCGCTGGAATGAATCTTCTGTCATTACATTTTGGATGACTGCTTCCCATCTAATTTCTTCAGGAGAACCCATGAGTAGCGAGCACTTTCATCGAGCTGTCAACGTGAATGATGAAGATTTGCTCATTCGAATACTTGAAGCAGGGTGAGAGAACTCTGCTGGCTTTTTTTTTTTTTTAATGACCATAAAGTACGTAGAAATACATGATGTAGCTTTATTTTGTTTTCCTGAAAGTTCCCATGCCTTTGAAACTGCCTCCTAAATTGCTCTCTGGTGAGTGGTATGAGTTAGTAAAGCCTAGTTGATAAAGATGATCATAAAGCCACATGTAAATGCTACAGTTTGTTGTTAATGAAAATTGTAGAAAGGAAATTATGAGCCTGGGTGTCATATTTTATTTCTGGAAAAACTTCTGTTCCTTGCTCAGAGGCCCTAGCATTTAGACACATTTCACTTCAAAATGCCCACATCTAACCCTGATGGAATCAGGAAATCACTAAGTCAGCTGCCTGCTGATCGAGAGGGTAGGTCGAACACTAGAGAAAAATGGTGGTGTTTGATGCCACCTCCCAAATGCAAAGGCGTTTTCTAGACTGAGTAGTTTTTTTTTACTATTGCTTTTTCATTTCTTTTGTTTGGCAGTATATGGATCGGAACTCAGGGTTTCGTGCTTGCTAGCCAAGTCCTCAGACCCAAATGAATAGTTTTGAGTGTCTTAGAAGACAAGCAATTTGTGAATTAGGGCTCTGTAAGTTTGGAGAAGAAAAGGTTCCCACAAAAGCCAAGCTCCTCAGCTGACAGTAAGAGCTGGACTTTGCTCTTTGAGCAACATTGCATTTCATACTTAGTAGATGAGTTGGGAGTCAAGGTAAAACTTTGTTCTCCTGCTGGGGGGAGCTCAGAAAGTCTGTGATGAAGATACTGCTCTCAATCAGCATCAGTAGGCTGTGCCCACCGCAGGCCTGGTCTATCAAATGGCACAATGATTTTGAGCTGAAGGGAGTACCTATTTCAAGTGAAATTTGAATCTTTAAAAATTATCAGGCAGAGCATTATAAGGCAACAAAACCTTAAGAAGAAATTGGGATTTTTGGTAAAATGAATCATTCTAGCCACCTGTGTTCTGCAAAAAGCCACCTATACAAGCAGCTGGACTGAACATGTTTGTGTCTCTTCTCTGTGTTTCTTCCAAGCCACGTTAAAGTTGATGTTCCCAATAAGTTTGGCTTTACCGCTCTGATGGTTGCTGCCCAGAAAGGATTCACCAGGTATGGCACTGCTTTGCTGAGTGAGTGGTCCCATTTTCCACTTCCCCCCCAAAAAACTCTGGTCAGGATGGGGATGGGAAGGAACTAGACTGGGGGCAACCCATCTTCTTTTCTCTTTTCCAAGCCATCCGTGTAATGGCTTCCAAATTCAGCTGCTTTTAACATACAGTTATGCAGCATGCAGAAGAGAATGCAGAATGTATAATCATGTATTCAGGAATAAAGGTAGCCATTTACTCACATGCAGTGTGTTTTTTATGGCCCAGGAACACTGGATATTGGAATTTGAATTCCTTTAAACAAATGACAGAAGATGTATCAGGAACATTCTGGAAAACAGACCCCCTTGCCTCCAGTTAGGTTGTCAAGATAAGATTTCAACAACAATTATCTGTTCCACAAAGTATAAGTGCTAACATGTTATTTTCCAATCATACATAGTATTTTGATTATTATAATGCCATTTTGGAAAAAATGTGTTTTCATTAAATGCTGCCAATTGAGAATGTATTAACAATGGCCATTAAAATGCAGGAGTTATTTTGGAGGTCCAATTTGTATTATGTGGGTTAGTTTGATTTTAATGACTAATTCATGTAAGGGTAAAAACCTGTTTATGGCGTTCCAGTTTAACAATGCCTTTAAAACTGGCTGGCTTCTGAAGGTGGAGAAGGTGTTGCAAAGATTCTTAAATGTCACCTTTCTGACTTTTTACCAGGTTATCATGGGTTCCAAGTCATCAAAGAGACTTATCTTGCTACTCTTAACTTTGTTTCCTTTAGGCTTGTGAAAATCTTAGTTTCTAATGGCACAGATGTGAATCTGAAGAATGGAAGTGGCAAGGACAGGTAGGAGGTGGGAAGCCCCTAAAGTGTGCTGAGGTGATGGTACTGTGTCACTAAGTGTGTGTGCAGGGTTTTTCTGACTTAACCCAAATATTTCCTTCAGTTTCTTTTGAAAGTACTGAGAGGTGACTAGATGCCAAAGGAGATCAACGGCAGTGACCGAGCTGGCTTATCTTCGTGCTTTCCTTCATGAGTGTGCTCTTGGGCCTGGGTTATACTGTGTCTGCCTTTTCCTGGTCCATGAATGGTAACCATCATGGAACAGGTGCCCAGCACAGAGATGATGGCACCTTGTCCTTGGTGCCTGCCGAGGGCACTTTGTTCCTCTCTCAGGGCTCTGGTTGTAGTTCATCCTTCCTCTGTTTTCCAGAAATCAGCATCAAAGACACAGCTGCAGGACTTTCCTGAGGGTTCTATAAAACCATCTGAGGGCATTACAGGAAAAGTTCTTGTAAAGAGCATGACATTGTAAAGAATGGATGACAGAATGCTTTTGAAAGACTTAAATGCTAATTAGTAATTAGATGTAGTTATTTCAAAACAACCAATATTTATTTTATTTTTTGGCAGTACTGGGGGTTGAACTCAGTTAAGCAGCTGCTCTACCACTGGAATCACTTCCCCAGCCTTTTTTTGAATTATTTTTGAGATAGGATCTCACTTTATGCCCTGGCTGGCCTGGCCCGTGTTCTTCCTACTTATGTTTTCTGCATAGCTGGATGACGGCAACGCCACTGCACCCAGCTATTGGTTGACATAGGGTCTTGGGAACTTTTTGCCTGGGCTTGTCTCAAACCTTGATCTTCCCAATCTCCACTTGCCAAGTACCTAGGATTACAGGCATAAGCCAGCATGCTTGGCTCCAACCAGTATTTCTTGAGTGACTACCACATGGCACTGTGCATGGAGCCTGGGAGGAATGGGGAGCAGCTGAGGACTTTGCTCCAGAAGCTCCTGGTCACTGAATGCATGCTGACGGCTGGTGTGGGCACCACAACACAAATTGCATAAGCAGTCACAAAGAAAGGTCAACTAATTTCTAAGATCAGAATGCCTGCCCGTTCCATTCGCTGGATGTGGTGCAGTTACAGATTTTAAATAACATTTAAAAACTCACTTACACATTTCAAAAGTATTTTTTCCAAAGAACTCTTGGTTTCCAAATTAACTCTAGGTTAATTTGGAACTAAGCCATCAACTTGAGAAGTCTGAAAAGAATAATGCCAATTTACAAACAAAAAATGTGAGGAAAGTAGAAAAAAGAATGAAAACAGAACTAGAAACTGATTAATCACAAAGCAAAAGATCATTGGGAAATCTGAGAGCAGCCTCTTAAACACCTATGTGATAAAACAGACCAATCACTTGTAAATATGAGAAAAGAGAAAACCAGAAATTTGGTAGGGAACATAATGATAGTTGTAGAGGATTTTTTTTGTGGCGGGGGCAGGACTGGGGTTTGAACTCAGGACCTCATGCAGTAGTTGCTGTCCACTTGAGTCCCCAGACCTTTTTGCTTTAATTATTTTTCAGATAGGTCTCCAGTTTTTGCCTGGGCTGGCCTGGACCTCGACCCTCTGATTTATCCCACCCACATGCACAGCTGGGATGACTGGCAGTGTGCCACTGTTCCAGCCTATTGGTTGAGATGGGCTCTCAGTTGGGAGAGGGGGATCCTTCCAATCCCTGCCTCCTGAATAGTTGGAATTACAGGCATGAGCCACTGCACTTGGCTTCTTTGGTTTTTTGAGATAGAGTCTTGCAATATAGGCCAGGCTGCCTTTAAACTCCTGCCTCTGCCTTCCAGTTGCTGAGATTACTGGTCTGAATCATCACGCCCAGCTTATAGAGGAAATTTACACATGAAAATAAAATAGTGCTTTGTGTCTTATAGTAGATTTAATAATTTTATTGAAATGGATACTTTTTTTGGAGAAAATTTAAACCACTAAAATCAACCCAAGAAGCAAAAAAATCTGAAATCGCCAAAATCCTTGTAAGGAATTAAAAAATGTATTATACCACTGCTTCCAGTGTAGGCTTGTGGCTTGACTGTTCTCCAGTGAGTTTGTTCAGATTTTCCATGAACCAATTATAATCTTTAAAAAACATTTTTTACTAGCATATATTAGTTTTACAGAGGGTTTCATTGTGATATTTCCATATATGCTAACAATGCACCTTGGTTAGGTTCATCCCTCCCCCAGTTTAAAACAATTTCAACAGGTTTCATTGTCCTATTTTGACATAAGTATATAAAGTACACTGACCAAATTCACCCTTTCTTATTCCCTCTATTCCACTCCCCCTCCCACTAATATTCAACCCCTAACAAGACCTGTTTTACATTCCTCTCTCTCATTTTTAAAGTGTCTGTTCATTGTTCAAAGGGATTTCACCATGGCATTTCACCCATGACTATATTGTACTTTGATCAGATTAGCCTCCTTTATTATTCTACCTTACTTGTTCTCCCTAACCCTTATTAATTAACAGCTTTCAGTGTGTTTCATTGTGCCATCTTCCTACACAGATAATGTATTTCCATATTGTTTAACACTATCATTTGCTCTTCCCCTCCCTCCTGCTCCTAGTCCCATCAAATGGTGCCTCTATTGCAAACATGTTTTTCTCTCTCTCTCTCTCTCTATATATATGTATGTATGTATATATATATATATATATATATATATATATATATATATATGATAATGTTTGTATTTGTGTAGATGTTTTTCTTTTGGATCTGTCTTCTACATATAAAGGAAAACATGCAAACTTTGTCTTTCTGGGCCTGGCTTATTTCACTTAACATGATGACTTCCAGTTCCATCCATTTACCTGAAAAAAGAAAAATTTCATTCTTCTTTATGGCTGAATAATACCCCATTGTATGTGTGTGCATATATATATATATATATATATATATATACCATATTTTCTTAATCCATTCATCAGCTGTAGACATCTTGGCTGTCTCTATAGCTTGGCTATTGTGAATTGTGTTGCGATAAACATGGGTGTGCTAGTGACTGTATTGTACCCTGATTTGTATTCCTTTGGGTATATGCCCAGGAGTGGTATCAATAGATTGAATAGTAGGCCTGTTTTTAGCTTTTCGAGGAATCTCCATACTGCTTTCCATAGTGGTAATGATTTACATTCCCACCAACAGTGTATAAAGATTCCTATTTCACTGCATCCTCACCAACATTTGTTGTTGTGTTCTTAATGATAGTCATTCTAAATGGGGTGTGGTAAAATCTTAATGTAGTTTTGATTTGCATTTCCTTTATGGTCAGGGATGTTGAGCATTTCTTCATGTAGTTATTGGACATGTATTTATTTGGATGTCTTCCTTTGAAAATTGTGTATTCAGTTCATTTCCCCATTTCTTCATTGGGCTGTTGATTCTTTGGGAGTTTAGTTTTTTGAGCTCCCTGTAGAATCTGGCTATTAGTCCCTTGTCAGACTAATAGCCAGTTTAACTGGCAAAGATTTTATCCATTATGTAGGCTGTCTCTTCGATCTAGTGACTATTTCTTTTGCTGTGCAGAAGCTTTTTAAGTTTGAGGCAGTCCCATTTGTCAGAACTTTCTTTTAATTGCTGAGCTATTGGAGTTCTGTTCAGGAAGTCATTGTCTATGTCTATATGTTCCAAAGTTTTCCCTATTCTTTCCTGTCATAGTTTCAAAGTTTTAGTTCTTACATTAAGGTCTTTGATCCACTTTGAATTGATATAAGTACAGGGTGAAAGACATAGATCTAGTTTCAGTCTTCTACACATGGATATCCTGTTTTCCCAGCACCTGTTTGTTGAAGAGGCTCTCTTTTCTCCAACATGTTTTGGGGTTCCTTTGTCAGCTGGAGCTGGGTGAATTTATGTCTGGGTCTTCTATTCTATTCTGTTCCATTGGTCTTTGTGCCTGTTTTTGTGATACCTCCAGCATTGCTGTTTTTGCTCAGAATTGCTTTGGATCTTTGAGGTCTTTTGTGCTGCCATATGAACTTTAGGTTTGATTTTTCTATCTCTGTGAAGAATGTTATTGGAATTTTGATGGGGATTGTATTAAACTTACAGATTGTTTTTGGTAATGTTGCCATTTTAACAATATTGATTCTGCTGATCCCTGAGCATGGGAGATACTCCGTCTTATGTTTTCTTCAGGTTAGTAGTGAAGCCTTTGCAAGAGAGGGGCAAGAGTGTAGACAGAGCCTGAGAAGTTGAGGTCAAATCCTCATCCTTCCATTGACAGAGTGTGTGACCTTGGGCCAGCTACTTATCCTGTCTCTACCTGGAAATAGGGATAATAGAAGTACTTATGTTATAGGGTTGTTGTGAGCACTTAATGAGTTAACATATGAAAAATGTATAAAACAGTGCCTGGCACATGGTGAATACAGGTTATAATCTTGTTATTTTGTGATTAGAGTATACTTTGGAAGGCTGACCAACTTGATAAGACACAGAGTAAGAAGGATGACCTCTGTCCTGCCAGATTCAAGAGAACCAACTTTCAAATACTGGAACTTAATAAAGAGGTTAAAGTGGGAAGCTACAAGACAAAATTAAAAAAAAAACCTGTAAATACTAGTTAATAAATATAATGGTGAAAATAAATTAGAATTAAAAAATCTAAAAGTAAGAAATTTGAATGTAAAAAGCCTATAAAACTATACTGAGATATATATAAAGATTTTAAAATATAGAGACATATGCCATATGCCAGAATCCTAAGATTGACTCTTAGAACATTTTCAGTTTTTCCCGAATTAACATATAGATTGAATGTAGCCTCAAGTGGAATTATTCTTGGGAACCTATCAAAATGATTGTAATTTAGCTGGAAGAACAAATATATGATAATAGCTACTAAAACGGTGTCAGAGAAGGCGATGGAAGAATTTTCTTGACATATTAGAATGCCTTTAAAGTTATAGTAGTTAAAGTAGTGTGACAATGGCAAAAGTAATTGGAAAAAAGACAAATCGAATAGAATAGA